GGTCAAAGTCGTTTTTATGTTATTTTACACTGAAATAAATTATTGTACAAATTTATTGCACAGCTGTATTTTCTCTACCAGTGAATGCACTGAATTATTCTGATTTATTAAAGAGGTTTTTTACGTATAGAAATGATTATCCTCTATAAACTAAATCTAGTCTGTACGACACCCCTGAATCTTTCATTCACAATCTCCTAAAATGATCGTTCAAGGTTTGATTTGTCTCATGCTTTAATTAGAGTTTATCAAATATTGGCAAAATGTTTCCCAAAATCTATATATATTCTTTACTTGTCTGTCTGTTTGTTTGTATCCAATAAACGCCAAAACGGCTAAAAAGATTAAGCCTAAATTTTGTGTGGGACATGACGTGAACCCTAGGAAGGTTTATGGATGATCAATATTTCAAAAATTTGCCTTCAACAAAATTCGATTTCCAATAAATTTTCAAAATTCCCGAATTTTTCTTTATGGAATCCGCGAACTTCTGTTTGTTTTTGTTTTACACTGATCAAAGAGTACAGGTTCACAATTGAAATAGAAGATGGGCGCAAAGCGTCCTATAAGCCTAGTACCTAATATTTTGCTTTAACACTCCCTTAAGTTCAAATTTTCAAGAGATAATGCCGTCGACAATGATTTAACAACAATTGAAGTATAATTTGACCGATTTGTATCAAGTTTGTTTACGAGCTAAGTTTTAAATGAAAAATTGTCTGCATCATGCTGCAGTCGGTAATATCAGCCCCTTCGAGTATTCCTGGAAATATGATGTTTAGTTTACTTTTTAAAATATAAACCTCGTGCTAAATAATAGTTTAAGAAACCTGTACTGCAGCTTAAACATAGTTTTAACTTTGGGGTAAAAAAAGGGGACTTTCGGACTTTCAAAGTTATTAACTTGTACTTGAGACATCTAGAACTTTTTAAATGTTTTTTTTTAGGGGGGTGGGTAGAGTCGAAATTGGCAAGAACCAAAATGTTTGCCGGTAACCCTGGCGCGGCTTTTCTTCTAAATGCTAAATTCAAAGAAAATTTTGAGTAGGTTTACCTGGAGAAGCCATTGATAGAATGGTCTGGAGAAGGGTAGATCTAACATTCTATTATCCAACACAGCCTTTGCCATAAATTTACCAAGAAACTAAAATCAAGATTTAAATAGAATTTTTAGGTTTATGGCTAAAATCTTTCTCATTAAATTCTAAATTATTATATTTACTTATAAGTAATAAAACCAACCTGGAACTTGTTCTTTATTTTAGTTTTATGACTTGATTTCACATTTCTAGCCAGAGGTAGAGGATATAAACCTAAATAAGATTTTTTAAATTTGACATTGAATTTGGAAAGCGATGACCTATTTTTGAAACATCGCTTTATCCCCCACCACAAAAAATAAACAATATTTTTTTTGCCACTTCGCCAAAACAAATCGATATCAATTCATTTACTTAATTACCTATTTGGGGCAAATCAACTGAAATAAATTCCCCTGAATAAGGAATATATTTAAAATCTCAAAGCCTGGAAAAATTTAAATATATAATCCCTACCTACGTCACTGTGAACGTACTCTACACACGGATCATCAGACTTATCCTCTTCCATAGGTTCCTGAAACACATTAAGTTTCATTAAACAAATGTATTCCTTTTTTATTTAAATTTTATATTGTTTCTGTTTTTCTTTAGCAAGTGTAGAGTTTACTGGCTCCTTTAGGAGCCGGATCGACAAAAAAGCCCCGATCGACACAATTTAATTTTCTTTTGATTTCATAAACCGTGCTTGTGCAATTTAATCGATTGTTAAACAAATATCATTTCTTGGAACCAATAAACTGTAGAGGAGTTTCAGCCTACGTTTTAATTTTAATAGTCCTATGAAACACAATAATTGCGAACTATACACTATCGACAGGCGCATTTTCCTTTACGTTGATTTTTAAGCTATTTTCTCTAAACATTAAGACATTGACACAAAAGTTTGATTAAATATTTCTTCTAAATCCACAGTTTTGTGGATATAATTGTACTACTTGTAACAAAACTTATTGACAATATTTAAGGCTTTACTACAATATAAATAATTGTATCATGGTCTTTTTACCTCGCTCCCAATCTTAACAGTTCCTCCTTTCCAGAGCTGTAGATCAGATCTCTGAAGTTCTTTACTAACTAAAGAATAAAACTCCAGGGTTGGACCTAGACCTGTTCCTACCTCACCCTCATACTGGATCTCTGCAATAAACGATTAGATGACTAAACGACCAAATGATACATTGACTAAACGACCAAATGATGAAACGAATAATTAAAGAGTAAAGTTTTCGAATACTAGAAAAATGGAACGATAAAATAATTGAATACTTGAAAACAAAACCTAAACTCACATTTTGCCAATAAACGAATAAACGAAAAAACGACGATCGAAATAACGAATAATCAAATAAATGAATAAACGAAAAAAACAACGATCGAATTAACGAATAATCAAATAATTGAATAAACGAAAAAACAACGATCGAATTAACGAATAATCAAATAAATGAGTAAACGAATAAACGAATTAATTAATTACCTAGTAAGGATCTGGACGAGGCTAACTCTGACATCAACTGTTCTCCCTGCTTCAATATTGTCTCTCTAAAAAGTAAAAAAAAAATCAAGATGTGCCGAAAATAATAACACACATTTCCGTTCACAAAATGCTCAGTCGGAAATTACAAAATAATTCTGAAAACTTTCCAATCAAAATACCTATAAAACTATAATTCTTTTACAAGTACCATTATTATTGCAGTCTTTATTGGTCAAACATAGAATACGTAGTTATAATATTTTTTTAAAGCACAAAATCAACATTTCTATTGAATCTTAATACATTGTACAATTAACACACATATCAACTTATAACTTCTACCTTGATATAACGCGCTTCTTCCTGTCCAGGTCTGGGTTGACCCGTTCATGAGTATCCGTTACTCCGAGTTCAGGGGACGCTTCAAGCAGTCGACTTAATGCCCTAGATTATAGATTAGTCATCAGAGGAGGCTTAAGGGTGGTGGGGGGAGGAATCCTCCTAGAAAATAAGACAGAGCAGGCACCTTCTAGACCTTAGATTTTGATTTTAAAGAATAGATGAAAAATTGTTTTGTAAGATCTTATTTTTTATAAATTATTGTTAACTTTTAATATTCAGCTCGATACTCCTTTGTCAGTAAAGAGGGGGGGGGGGGGGGGTATTCTACATCAGCAAGGGGGTAAGGGAGAAATCCTTACCTATCTCTGTCGAATGAAGTAACGTAGAATAGAAGTTGACGGGTTTCGAAAGGGAACAGAAACGGACAGGTTACGCCAATCTCCTGAAAATAAACAATTAAATTTAACATATTTTAAACCTATCAGATTGTAAAATGTATTTTATTAAATTCCCAAGCAAACTTTATCTAAAGGAACTAATTCATCTCATCATATTCTATTTTTATATTCACAACCTAGACTTTTTATATTTCAAATAATGACCTCTTCTAGATCAAATAGTTAAAGTTAAAAATATTAAAGTTTTACACCACCAGATTGTAAAAATATTCGGATCACAAAATTATAGCTTGTGGGGAAATATCAATTCCTTTGTTCTACAAAAACATTAAAACAATTCGTTGTATTGTCTGGGATTTGACTAGAATTCTTTTTAATTCATCGGACTTAAAAGGAAAATCCAACAGGTTTAAAATACTAATAAATTGTTTAAAACTGACAAAACCTGGAAATTTATTAATTATTAATTAAAATACAATCTCCGCACTAAGATGTATAGAGCAGAGATCTAAGTTTTCTTTGATGCTATCTAACCTTGAGCCAGTGAGGAAGGTTGCTGGTCATGATAACAATAGGATCCTGTAGCTGGCGGTTAACCTTAGCTGTTATCTTACTGTTGATAAACTCAATAACAGGCAGAATATTCCTACAAATAACAAATGGTTAATAACGGTTACACTGGGGAGGGGGAAGGGGGGGGGGTTATAAAAAAGAAAAACCACCACAAATCCTAAGCCCCCCCCCCCCCCCCCGCCCCACATAACAAAAAAAAGTTTATGTAATAAGTCTTACAATCACACCATTACCCTTTGAAACTTTATCTAAATATCTTCGTTTTCTATTTTAAATTAAGCACTTTTTTCGTTATGATACTCGCGAAGTTAGAAAAAATGGATAACATTTCTGAAAGAAAAAGAGATTTTTGAAATTTAACGTAGATCTCTTAAAAAGATAAAAATAGTTTCAAACCTGGGGCGTGTTCCAGGGTAGAGTGTATACCAAAACCGGTTTAAGGCATGCAGTACACGTATCAAATTTAAAACATCAACGCTAGGATCCTGAAAACAAACAATAATTAGATAATAATGCAATAGAATTGTCAGAAACAGGACAATTCTCAGAATTTCACACTTTACGCTAGAAAAACGACGATATCTTTCACATTATAGATCAGATAACTGGTACATTCGTTGCCGTCTATTTGCGAATATTTTTAATGGCTCAGATATCCAAGAAAAATTAGTAATGGTAGCCTGGGTAGTGAATATATTTGTTAGTAACAGTGCTTAGGATCCGGATCGGTTGAATTCGCAACATTTTGGCTTCCTGGATCCAGATCCGGTTCCTGGATCCAGATCCGGTTCCGCAAAAATATGCAAATTCCTGAGCCAGATCCAAGGGGGAAAAACTGTTTGCTCTTGAAACAAAAATCTCTGAATTATAAGTAAAGGATAAATAATAAATATAAACAATTAAAGTGGGATATAAACCTGATGAAGGAATTCCTTGGGTAGTTTATCCTCTAGGAATGAGATAAGAGGGTTTGGTCGCTCCGGGACAACTCCTTCATTCCATAATTCATCCGGAGCTTTTCTCTTAGCCTGACCCTTTCCTCCCTTACCCTAGAAATAAAGTTTAATATATTACTAATAATTTTATCAAATTTGAAGAACCAATAGAAATGTTTTAAAAACTTACCTTTTTACTGGCTGCTTCTGCGGCTCCCTTTTTCGATTGTATAGAGGGTGATGCGTCCTGGGCCGGTCTTAACAAATTTTAAATTTTAAATCAAGGACCAAAAGTTTTGAATGAACGGAATAAGTAATTCTAAATTTAATCTTAACCACTCTCTGAAATTGGCCAGAGTTTCGACCAAAGGGAGGACAGACAATTAACAATTTTCCCCATTTTTTTGTTTAAATAAGTTAAATTCTAGAATATTTATATATAAGAAGGGGTTAAGGTTGTAAAGGAACTCATTAATTTATTATCTTCGATGTAGCAATATTCTTAGTTTTGAAACTTCAGGTTGCAAACATATAGGAAATATTAGTAAATTCGAGTTCGTAAATCTTGTTGTAAATTATTAATATTGTTATAATTATTAAACCTGTAGTATATAGTATGTATTCTGGCCCAGACCCCGGGGGAACCAAGCATAGAGTTCCTATTATCACTATCACTATCCTCGGTTACGCTGGAACCCTGGACATGTAGTCAAATTTATAAATTTCTTCTTAGGGGTGTATATGATTTTTGATGAATTAGGAAAACAGAAAAGAAAAGTGGGACAACAAAAGACATATTTTCATTCCTTTTAATGCTTGTTGCCAAAAAAAATCTATTATTTCCGCTGCAAAATCATTTAATTTGACCAAAACAGCGAAATCCTGCTAAAAAAATTTTCGCGCTCGCAACCATATATAATTTCCAGGGAAAATAAATGATTTTCTGAAGAGGGGGGGGGGGGCGGTAATTATTGGGAAAGTTTACACCCCTGTTTTTCTTGGTAATTTTTTTTACGAAAAGTGAGGTAATTTTATGTAAAATCAAGGATAATGAAGTCAAAAGCAAGATGGCGAAGTTAAAATTTATGCAAGATTCAGATCTACTTTGTGACCTTGTAGCTCCACAAGTAAAAGAATAGCCAAATTTGTTCAGTTATATATTGGAACTTCAGATTATTCTTGTTCTTCTCAATAGCTCTTCAATGAGAGGAGTTATGATTAAAAACATATTTCAATCTTTCATACAATTTACTTTAGTTTGCCGTGAAGGAATAAAAGAACATTAAATATTGTATTCTCGTCTTTATAATTGATTACCGGAGCTCCAAACTGTTGAACCGCCTGATAAACTGTCATATCTCTTGGTAGTGTACTCTCTCCAATCAGGAATTCAAGTCTAAACATGAGAATAAGGTAAATTAAGACTTGAATATTTTTACAACTTAAATATATATTCACCCAGAATAGCAAAGCATTAGATGATATCAAAACTTCTCTTACTAATCAAAATTTTGTTCACGAAAGAGATGCAAGCTTAAAAAAGCTAAAAAAAAGATCCGTCTTGAAACACTGAATCTATGAACAAAAAAGTCGTTCATTCAAATTTTACTGTTAAAAATTTTTATGGCTTTCATCTGATATTCTTTAAATGTCGATGGACAATTTTTTATTTGATCCGCATCTTTACATACCTATTCATAATGATCTGATTTTTATAATTTTATATAATATATTAAGTCATATTCAATATTCATCTATTTATTCTTGCTAAAGTGAAATAATTCTTACTCATTACTCATAATTTTAAGTTTTAAAAATATTTTTAAATGTGAACCTGTGAGCTTGTTCTCCAGTCCTTTCCCTTGATGTATTGTTGAGTGTATCATCAGTTCCTTCATCAGACATATCATCATCATCAGAACCTGAACAAACAGACATATTATCATCAACAGAACCTGAACAAACAGATATATCATCATCAGAACATGAACAAACAGACATATTATCATCAACAGAACCTGAACAAACAGACATATNCATCATCAGAACCTGAAAAACAAAATCATCCGACATATCATCAGAACCTGAACAAACAATCAGAACCTGAACAAACTAAATTAATTTCTGGTAACCAGATATCTTTATATTTATAAGATCTAATTTACCTGAATCTCTATCTGATGGTTTCCCGTACCTTTGGTAACCAGATATCTCTCTACTTATAAGATCTAATTTACCTGAATCTCTATCTGATGGTTTCCCGTATCCTCTTGTAACAAGATATCTCTCTATAGCTTGAACCAGTGCTAGCGGATCTATCTTCACTAAACCTCCCTTCCAGCTCTTTAAACTTGTACAGTCAGGGTGTCTCTGAAAAATAAAATACTCAATCTTCAATACAGAATTAGGACGAAGAGCTATAAGATGTTCAACGAAATTGTTTAGTTTTATTTTGGTGGAGACTAATAAATTTACACATTAAACTAACCTGTAGGGAACACTTGAGATGATGAGTTTTAAAGAATTTAAGAGTTGAACCTGCAGATCTGACTCCAGGGGGACCCAGTTCATACATCTACATAATTATTTATGACACTATAGTATACTTTATCATTATTACTCACTTCATCGTGAATTTCAAAATGAACATTGTTAAATTAGCTGTACATTATAGCACCTGTGCTATAAAGTTTTGATTGGTTCCCGGATTTTCTCCAAAATATGTTTTTTCAATTGAAATCAAAATAAAATTTAAGTCAATTTTATATTTTGACTTCTGCTTTGTTCCAAAGCTTACTTGATCTAGAGATAGCCATTGAAGTAAGACAAGTACACAAACGTTTCATAAAATTACATATAACACTAATATTTTGGCACGACGTGCTATAAAGTTTTTGGACTTAAATTTTCTCTATATCTCGAAGGTTCTCGCATTTTTAGATTATACACGAACCAAAATAACAGTGATATAAATAGTTATAGTCTAGGATTCAATGCAACCATAGGAAAAATCATCAACTTGTCGAGCTAAGATGGCTCATTGTCAAGCATTCTTTGTTAAGGACTATTGAACAGGATTGAGAGGAAACCACGCCACCACAGATGTTGTTCTGATGAATCCTGCTGGGTATTTATTGTGTTAATATTTCATATTTTGATAATGTTTTACCATTTCAGATAGTTTTATACAATATAACTTAACTTCAATTATAAAGTTATTAAGACGACAGGACCCCCAGGAAAACATCCTTTAATACTCTGTAAGATAATTTAAACAAATTTTATTGTAGATATATTCAATATCCAATTTCATCCCTATCAGAAAAAAAGGATATCAAATAGATTTTTATCCCGCTGAAGACCTGTCACCACAGGAATGCGGTCTCTAGAGCTTATTATTCCAGATAAACTCAATTGAGGTCCCGGGTTGGAACAGGACGTTTAAGAAGTTTGTAGAAGAGGGAAACGGCTAACATGCCTAGCTCAGGCGAATTAAAGATTCGGAGATCAACACAACTAATAAATGTGATTGTTTCAAGTTAACAATTCTCTCCAATCTCGTATTTACCGATAATGAGACTATTTCTACCCAATCTTGTGGGATGTTTTTTTTAATAAATGCAACAAACTGCATGAACTACAGTCCGAACTTTGAATAATGATAATAAACAAATAGAAACACAAAATTATGTTAAAATTGAAATTTCTTTTAATTACGTCTTACATTTTGACCGAAATTTTCTGTACGATATGAAGTCATATAATCGGAAAAGATGTGCAAATTATAAAAAGTTAAGACAAACCTTTATGTTTTACTTTAGTACATGTCACGTATGTTTTATATTCATTTACTGCTTCAGATTAGATTTGGTATAAGACATACAAGTAAAAGAGGAAGTAAGAGTGGAATCTTGGCCAAGTAAGAAACAAGGCATGGGGGTGGGGTGGGGGCATAGAGGGTGGTGAGGACATTTATATAACATACCTTGATTGGAAACTGCTCTAAATGGTTTACACAAGCGTTCAGTTTTGAGATGAGAAGAGAGAACTTTGAAACTATTTCAGGATCTAGACTAACCTCGTCAGCATCTCCACTAAACAAAATACAAATCAAAACAACCTCTCCTGGTTAGCCGGGTCAAAACTAAACTTGTGGGTATCACCTGCTTTGTAGAAAAGGAAGAATAAATACATCATGAAATACTTCAGCAAAGTATGATCATGGTGTAATCCAGAGGCGTAATCAGGAGGGATCAGTGAAATTATGGTTTTCAGGGTGTTTAAGAGCCCAACGGATGCTAAGCCCCCCCCCCCCCAGAAAGACATACAAAATTAAGCCCCCTACCCCCTTGGAGAAATTCCTTAATTAGCCCCTGGAGTAATCTTCAATCTTAAGTGGCAAAAGAATAAGAGATAACAAGTTTCGTGGAATGTTCATCTAAATCTACTTTCTCCGAAGAAATCATTATTCTTGCCCATTTCTCAATATTTTGAGAGAAATTAAGTGTTTCTAAGAAAATAAAATCATAATAATATGTTTTTGAAAACTTGGGGGGGGGGGGAAAATTTGGGGGAAGCAGATCTTGTACATTTTTTAACAGCAACAACTTTTTAAAACAATTTCTAAAATCTTTAGTCTTTATTTGTTCGAATTAAAATAATGGGAATTTAAACCAAATCCTACCTTTTAGGTGCTCCAGTGAACACGTGGAGGAATGTTCTCACACGAGTCATCCTTCCTACATCATGATCCTGACCCTGATGGGTCGGGGTGGTGGTGTGGGAAGGATGAGTGAGATCTGGGTCAGGTTTAGTCAGGTAGGTCAGCAGGGATAGAACTAGTCCAGACTGATAAACCTAAAATTAAGATGGTTTTAATTTTGAGATTGTCAAACCTATTTCAAGTGATCCTTTAATTGATATTTGGCCCAATCATAGATTGCAGATACGCCATCGTTAAGCGAACTAGGTTTTTAGTGTAAAAAGTGATTTTGCAAAAGAACCCTTTTAATACGTGATGAGAAAAAATACCTCAAATGGAGATATATCATTCTCCACAAGTATTGATTGTATCTCCTTCAAACATCTCTCTCCGTTCTGGGGCTTCTTGGTCAGATGATCAACCTTAGAAATAATGAATAAATCCAACAATCTGGGAAAACTTCAGTGAAACCAAAACCTATGCAATATGCATGCATGTGGAGCTACTACACCATCTACTACCAACCACGCTGGCTGTAATCAATAATTGGTGGATACCGTCTGAAGTAGCCTGATTTGTAAATTTATTCCTTCAGAGGTATCAGGCAATTGATAAAAAATAGATATATATGGTAGAGAGAATCTACTCAGCATGTTTACCTGTGCTGAGAGTCTACGCAGGATAGTCAGGGCTGGATGTCTAGAGCCCAGGGACTCCTTGAAGTTCTCCTCCAACAGTTTCTGGGCTTCATTTCTCACCCAGATCTACAAATCAATCAATCAATCAATTTCAAATAAGATCAAATAAACAATTCAAAGCAATCAATACACATATAAAACTAAAATCGTTATTTATTCTGGGATTCTGTTCAAATCCTGGTTAAACATTTATTTTTTGTTCAAACTGAACCTCAAGTTCATATCATTTGGAGTTTCTTGCTTTTGTACATGAATTAAATTTTTCGAAATGTTAAAAATTTCTAAGAACATAATTTGCTAACTGACCTTTATTTTCTCTCTAGTCTGGTGGTGAGATGGAGTAGATACTGTAGCAGGAGGAGTATCCTGCTGACTGATAGATCTAGATATATATATATAATGGTCAAATAGAAAGGTATAATTAGATAGATAAATATCGTTACATAGATAGATAGAAGTTAGTTAATTATAGATAAAAAATTTGTCTGTTAGCATATAGTTAGTTAGATAGTTAGTTAGTAAGATAAATAAGTATACGATGAGGATACTATGAAACCATGGCCGGAGATGAGGTTTGATTCTTCTTTATATCAGCTTAAAGAAAATGGTAAAAAGGGGATAAGCAGAAAAAATATTTCCCCTTTTTATTTTGTTTATCTAAAAACAAACGAAAATGTTGTCCATAAGCAAATTGCATTAACATCGCTCAAGAAGTAAAGACGTGACACCTTTACAAGTACCCAGAGGCCGAATGTAAAGAATTTCAGAAGCGGCTCAAATTTGAGTCGCGGCTTAAATATGGCTGGTCCTCTTAAAATTGTATTATATGTTTCAAGATTCAAGTCGGCGTTAAATTGAAACCGGTTCTTAGCGGATTTAAGACGCGGCTTAAATTCATTAAATTCGGACACAATATTGGTCAAAGTGAAGGTAGTTTATAAGTAGCCAACTGTTTGGCATATAAAAGTTACCTTCCCCATTTGACCGGGTTGAGAGATGAAAAGAGAGATGAAGCTGAGCTGAGTCTTGATCTCCTGCTCCCTGGTGTTGCTGAACCTGATTTAGAAGCAGAACCCCCCGGAGTAGAGGTAGTAGGACCTCCTGGAGTCGAAAGAGCTAATCCTAGAAAAGGATACTCTCAGAAGTGCGTATATCGAATAGCAAATTGTTTCTCCTTTATAAAACTTAAAGCCGAACAATTTCTTGCGTTAGAAAACATAAAATACCAGTATCTACTGAATAAAATCGACTTCTGAAAAGGGTGAAAAAAATCTATAAAATATGAAATAACCCCAGATTATAATTTTTGGTATTTCAAATTAGTTCCTTATGTCACGTCAAGTTTATATTTTTAAGGAAATCATTTCAATCATATTTCTTCTATTTCCATTTTCCTTGTTAGATTTCTCAATCGTTGTTAAAATTTCTACTCTTGAAGTTCCGTTTTGATTTTTATTGGATTTCCCACCTGCAGTTCTTAGATCTTCTCTAGAAGTTCCGCTATTCTTTCTGCTGGATTTCCGGCTTCCGGTTCTCTTCCGCTTCAGCATATCTGAGAGCTTGAGTGGATTGGAGGTGGTCTGAAAATATAAGGAATGTTCGATCTTTAATTATAAAAACTATAAATGGAATTTTGTTAGCAAAAGATCACAAGACATGATTTATGCAAAGTTGGGGTTGGAGATTTTTCTCTATTCCTTTTACTACACTTAGTTTTACCTTCACATGCACCTACTCTACCCNTACTCTAGATTGAAACCGTGGGGTTGATTTTACACCCTTCACTAACCTACCTACTTCCAGGTTTACCTGTGGGGTTGAATCTGGCGACTCCCTACTCACCTCCTCCCTACTCCCAGATTTACCAGTGGGGTTGAATCTGGTGACTCCCTACTCCCTACCCCCTACCTCCTCCCTACTCCCAGGTTTACCAGTGGGGTTGAATCTGGTGACTCTCCATTCCCAGGTTTACCTGTGGGGTTGAATCTGGCGACTCCCTACTCCCAGATTTACCAGTGGGGTTGAATCTGGTGACTCCCTACCCCCTACCTCCTCCCTACTCCCAGGTTTACCAGTGGGGTTGAATCTGGAAAGTCTCTATTCCCAGGTTTACCTGTGGGGTAGAATCTGGCGACTCCCTACTCACCTCCTCTCTACTCCCAGATTTACCAGTAGGGTTGAATCTGGTGACTCTCAATTCCCAGGTTTGCCTGTGGGGTAGAATCTGGTGACTCCCTACTCCCCTCCTCCCTACTCCCAGGTTTACCTGTGGGGTAGAATCTGGTGACTCCCTACTCCCAGGTTTACCTGTGGGGTTGAATCTGGTGACTCCCTACTCCACTCCTCCCTACTCCCAGATTTACCTGTGGGGTTGAATCTGGTGACTCCCTACTCCCAGGTTTACCTGTGGGGTTGAATCTGGTGACTCCCTACTCCCCTCCTCTCTACTCCTGGTTCTAAGATGCTCCGGGAATATATTAGCGAAGCTGGATCCAGCAATTGTCCATGAGCGTCCAGGATGAGGAGGAGGAGTGCTCGAACCCTGCAAATATTTCTCAATTTTATAAATCAAATATTTTCACAGTAAATGAAGTGCTAAGAAGAAAACAAAAGGATTTATATTTTCTTCAAAGTTCATTTCCCCCTCCAATATATTAGGCGCAAATATTTAATAGGATTTCCCACTGAATTAGGAAAATAAATTTATCAGGAAATAAATATCTATGAAATCATATATTATTGTGTATACAGGGTTCTGTGGTTTATTTATTAAAGAGAATGTTCAACTAAACAGTATTAGTCAATGTTCTAATTCAGGTTCATCAGCCCTCGGTAGATGTTGTCTGAGATCTTCTAGAGTGGAAGAGTGGGAGAGGTCAGATGGGTTGACCTTCTCCTTCCGGAGCTTGTAGAGTGTGCAAGATCTGGGTTTTTTTTTCCATCATCAAGAATTAGATAATACGAGTTACGAAGCATAATCAATATTCTTTACAAAATTATGAAATAATAAACATCAATTATGTACAAAATAAAACGAGCACTATTTAACTTCCTTTTTTCATTTACTAGTTATAGAATTACATAATGTAAAGTATATTTAAACTAATGGTTCTTTGTAAAGGGGGGAAGTGGTACAAGAAAGGGAGGGGGAGGGTTTATGACCATCAAAAACAGTCATTTCTTTGGCGGGATTTGTCTAGACGTTAGGGATGTAATATCTCTGAATAGGGAAAAGAAAGAATTCAGATTACGACAGCGGGGAACCCATCAATTTCTATAATTGTTAGATGCAAGAGATTAGATCTATGAGTAAAGCAAGGGTTCTATTAGATAATTGCTTTTAACGTTGAAATTGTTTGAAATCAAGGATTAAGGAAAACAGGAATTCACTACAACATATACCTGTGACCAGGACAGGTTGTATTCTGATATATCTGGTCCCAAGGAGTATTCAGGATCCGTTAGTTTCTGAATCTGATGAAGCACTCCCTCACGTCTAATAAACAAGTAAACATACAGGTTGAATTCTATTTACTCTTAAAGGGGCTGTCACAGTGTAATTTCATGGGCCCTCCATGCAAAGACGGGAATGCCAGATTAACAAGATACCCCTTATAAACTTTGTCTGATTAAGGATGAAGTAGAAATCAAAGTCTAAAATTTCAAAAACTTGTTTTTTCAATTATTTATCAGATCAATGTTTCAAGGGTGCCGTTGTAAATCGGGCATTGCCAATTTTGTGTGGATGGTCCCTTGAAATTTCACTTACAGTCCCCTGAAAAATTAACATCATTAATAAACATCATAAAAAATATGGAGTTTCTTTTTCTTCCAAGAATAAGGGGTAAAATGACGTTAAATTGTTGATTAACAAGGCGGATGTTCACGCATATCAGGTTTCTTGTCAATAATAAAGTGATTTACCAACTTATCCCCCTTCACTATTTATTTCACTATTCTAAACTCTAGTTTCAGTTAAAATAATTTTCGAATATTCTTAACTACTGTTCAGACTAAATAAAAAATTAAGGTAAAGTAAAATTATGAGATCAACTGAGCTGTGTGATCAATTATCACGGTTAAAACTGAGACGGAGAATTATTTCTAATAAGAACTGACCTGAAATGAACACTGAACTCCTGTGGTAATTTATCCAACAGAACTCTACTAAGCTGTAGAGCAGCAACTGTAATCTTGAGATCCTGACTGCTCAGCATCCCGGCAACCTGGCTGCTTACGAAGGTGCTGTTTAGAACACGGGTAAGCAGCTCCGAATCAGTGTGCACAACCATACGAAGAAGTGCCTGAATATTATAATATTTTTAGGGATAGTTCGCGGAGTTATCTGCAACACTTATTTGTTCAAGAAGTGCCTTTTCAATCTGATTATTATCATTCACAACTTTGCCAATACAATGTTCGAAATAAATGGGGTTATAACTGATTTAAATGCCAACTGTTGTAAATTGTTTGTTGCGCGTCATTTATAATTTTGTAAAGAAATCCCTGGCAGAGCAAGAAGTGGTTGTTGCAAATTAATTGAAAATAATGAACAAGTTTTCTATACAATCTTTCTTTACACTTCTCAAATAAACCTTGATGAATTTTATTTTTTTACAAAATTAGAGAATACGTCATTTATGATTAATAGAGAATTTTTTTATTCCATTTAGTAGGGAGAGTGGGGGGGGGAGGGGCTAAATAGAGTGGAAGGAAGGTTAAATAAATATACCTGTAGTGCCGAATGTCGGACTCCCGGTCCAGCGCTTGCAGAGTAGATTTCTATCAAAACCGGAAATAGTGTTTTCGTCAGCTGAGCTGTCAGCTGTTTCCGGTCTTCAACTTCCGCCGCAACTTCTCCGTCCTACAAATATTATTATTAACTTCTGCCAACCAACCAAAAAAAAAAACCGACCGACCGACGAACCAACGAACCAACAAACCTGAACTGCTGAGAGCTGTGAGGTTAGAATTCTCTTCAATGGTTTAGCAGTTCCACATTCCTCTCTTATTTCGTGCCTGAACAAATTGTATTTATGTTATTTCTCGTTCAATAATATTTAAGGCCTGGGTTTGTGTAAAATCTTTTTGAATGTCATGTCTGTCTGTATGTCAATCTACCTGACTACCTGTCTATCTGTCTATCTACCTGTTAACTAGATTAAGTGTAACGGATCTAATCTACCTGTATATCTGTCTATCTACCTGTAACTAGATTAAGTGTAACGGATCTAATCTACCTTTCTATCTGTCTATCTACCTGTTAACTAGATTAAGTGTAACGGATCTATTAGAAGAGTTGAGCTGTATTTCCGGTTCACCGGCCAGAAACGCAGCCTCTATACTCCTGGAGAGAGAATACGGATGAAAACACCAACAAGCATGAAACACTAAAAAAATGCAAGGGAAGGGAAAAAAGGTATCATCGATCGGTCAGGATAAATTAATAGAAAAAATGATCGGAAAGTATAAATAAATGGTATTAAGGATCGGGCAGGATAAATTAATGGAACAAATGACCGGGCAGGATGAATTAATGGAATAAATATATGCGCGCACGGGAAGGGAAAAAATGGAATCAAGGATCGGGCAGGATGAATTAATGGCATAAATGACCGGGAAAAAAAAGTTATAAAGGACCGGGCAGGATAAATTAATGGAATAAATAATAAAATAAATATAAATGCACGCACGCACGGGAAGGATCGGGCTGGATGAATTAATGGAATAAGTAAATAACCGGAAAGGAAGAATTAATCGAATAATCTACTGAGAGGGATAAATAAATTTAAAAAAAAGACCGGGATGATCGGGAAGGATATAGATAAAATAGATGGCCGAGAAATATAGAAATTAAATTAAACGACCGAGGGATGAATGAATCGAATAATTGACAGGCAAGGATAAATTGATAAAAATAAATGAACGGGGTCTAAAGACTATTTCTACATCAGAAACGGCCGAATCATAATTTGGTAATCTTTCTAAAATAACAGAAAGGACTTAATTCAATCCTTATGTCCACAAAAGATACGGATTAACATTCTGAACTGATAAACAATGCAATCTTACTTCAAGAACCATAATATGACATTATATTAAAATGAAGGAGAATAAACCTGCAATCGTTAAATCCATAAGTATGCCAGGCTCCCCTGTCATCCTGCCACTGCCAGACTACAGGGTCCTTTAGTACTGTTCCTGAACATTAGTTTTAATATTAAAAACAATCCGGGGTATTTATTTGGATGAATCATAAACCCCCCAAAAAAAAGTAAATAAATATAGCTTTACCCATAGAACATTTTAATCCAGGAGTATTTTATCAAGGTTATTTTACTTCAATCAAAAAATTTACTTTAGTAATTTAGATAAATATATAATAGAGTCTCCTCTACCTGGTGGAGCTAGGAGTGCGTCTATAGCAAACACACCGTCTCCGGGTAGAGCTGGAAGCAGTTCTCCGACTAGAGAAACCATCTCGTAGAGTTCCTGTGGAGATCTTGGAACCAGCTCCAGTAGATCATTCTCCAGTCCTAGCAGAATATTATTAGAATATAAGTAAAATACCAGAGTTGGAGAGAAACTAAATACTTACTTCAAACTGTAATTTTCTAATCCTATTATCTTTGCAATCTAATCTTTGACTGTTTTATTTAGCATATTTCTTTGTTAAAATATCAGGTTTCAAAGATTCAAAAAAAGTATTAAATTCCTGAAATAACGAAAATATTTTTCTAAAAATAATTAGATGGGAAAAATTTCAGAGAGAATATGAAAAGTTTTCTTGTATCATATTTTCCCCCCATAATAGAAAACCTTCTAAAATAACCCGTAGCTCATTGAGATGGCCCGGGGGGGGGGTCATGTATTGAAGTGTTGAATTAATTTTTCAATCGTCTTACACGATTTTTAATTTAAAACAATAGCAATATATCAAAATAGAAACCATTAGAAAATGCTTAAAAGAAAATAAATATAGAATTTAATAAAGAGTAAATAAGTAAATAATAACCTGGGGATTTACTGCTTCCAGGTAAATTCTCTGTGAAGGTTGGAACAATCAGTAAATTCTTCAGAGTCTCTCCCATATCCTAGACGATACAATTTACAATATTATATTCTACCATATCCTAGACGATACAATTTACAATATTATATTCTCCCATATTCTAGACGATACAATTTACGATATTATATTCTCCCATATCCTAGACGATAGAAGTTACGATATTATATTCTCCCATATCCTAGACGATACAATTTACAATATTATATTCTCCCATATCCTAGACGATACAATTTACAATATTATATTCTACCATATCCTAGACGATACAATTTACAATATTATATTCTCCCATATCCTAGACGATACAATTTACAATATTATATTCTCCCATATTCTAGACGATACAATTTACAATACTATATTCTCCCATATCCTAGACGATACAATTTACAATATTATGTTCTCCTGTGTCCTTTTTTTCCCTATAAAAATTGAGCCGCTCAACTAAGAATCTCAAAACTGATCTAAAAAATCGTGGTTCTCCCTAGTTCCCTAATCAAAATTTGAGGCATATCGATCAAGGGGTTTTCGAGTTATAATCGGAGAAACAAACAAATTAACAGAGATTACTACTTTATACCTGTTTCAGTAGATGCAGGCTGGTCGTACTGTTATTACTGGTCAAGATCACCTAGAATAAAATTAAATTACTAAAAAACAATTATTGAGAATAAAAAAGCTGAATTATTTTTAGCTGTTTTTATAAAGACGTTTTACTTCCACACTTTACACCTTTATTTTATTTTCTTTTGAAGTGAATCATTATTTTTGATCAGAAAAGAAAGAAAAATCTGAAAAATATGTATGACGATAATAATAATAAAGTTGACAGACCCTATTCTTAGCTTTTTATATTAATCTTGGTATGCCACAAGTATGTGAAAATGCTTGATCAAAATAATCTTTGACGTGCAATTCCAAAAAAAGAAGAAAAAGGTATTTACTACTTATGAACATCTGTTGGAACTTAGTTTAAAGAAAAACCAAGATTTTCAATTAGACTTTTTGTTTTTATTTTTGATACATTTATTGTGATTATGGGAACGAAGTTCGATAAAAAGAATCTTTTCTTTCCTATAACGAGGTGTAAATATATTCCTATAAAATATTTTTTTCCTCCAGAAGTTATATATGGTTGAGCTTTTACCAACGGATTCGTTAAGGTTTTCGCTGATTTGGGGAAAATTAATTATCTTACCCATTTTTCATTTATTCCCCAATTCATTAAAAATAATTTTGTTGGTATGTTTGTGCATCAAATTAAAGTCAAAACGACCATTTTTTAATGACTTTATAATTTACATGACTCCTAGGAAAGGTTTATATGGCCGATAAAACTAATTTGACTTTAAAAATTACAATTTTAAAAAAAGCTATAAAAAAAAGGAAAATCCGCAAAAAATTTTTTTTCTGGCGTAGAAAACCCAATAGTGGCTTGCAAGGAAAAATTAAAAGCTATTTAAAATAACTGTAAAGAGCACAGTGTCCATAATATCCGTGTTATCATAAATTGTTGAAGCAATAATCCAACTCACCAGTATATGAAGGCATGTTGTGAAGGTGTTGGGACTAACTGTTTGTTGTTTCAGCAGTTCCTGTAGGTTTGCAAGCACTTCCGGTTTCCCTATTTCCGCCAGTCTCTCCTTGTCCAACTTATAACTGTCAGCCAACCTTAAAACAAACACAATATTTTAAGATGTAAATATATTTTTATTTTTTAACAAAATAAATTACCTTGAAAGAGCTAAACAAGCTAAATCAACACTTTTCTTGTCTTCATTACGAAGTCTTGATGATATAATCGGTATAGCCTCCTATAAAAAAATTTAACTGTTTGTATTTTTTTACTTTTTAAACCAAGCAAAGTATTGACTAAAGATGGCAAATTTATGCTGACCAAAACCAAATTGACCAAATCTTTGACCGATAAATTTGAATTTGACATTATCTTATTTGATCAAATTTAAGTTTTTCGATCGAAATTGACCATTAAGTAAAAGAAATAAAAATCCTCTTATAGTGTACTGTGAGTGTGCAAATTGTGCAGTGTAGAAAGTACAAAGTACAGACAGAACAATCTAGAGATAGATTAAGTATACGGAGTTAGATATAGGCGAACTTTAAACCTCAATGTTTACATACATTACGTTCTATCCTAGATAATTTCAGGTAGTAACAAACAACCAAGTATTTTAACATCTTTAATTTTAGTCTGAAGTATGGAACAACTAACAAAAATAAAGAGGTTTAATTAAAAAAAACCTTCATTGTTTTGAAAGTAAACAAATAGAAAAAAACGTGAATTTCTCATTCATTCTTTGTCAGACAAGGGAACCATTGTTAATCAGATATGCTACGTTTTTATCAAATAGAGTCCCTGAAATAGGATGCAAAAACAAAACGAGAAAAAAAAAATAATTTTAAGAAATATAATCTAAGTGGACCGGGTTGAATATAATCTAAGTGGACCGGGTTGAATATAATCTAAGTGGACCGGGTTGAATATAATCTAAGTGGACCGAGTTGAATATAATCTAAGTGGACCGGGTTGAATATAATCTAAATGGACCGGGTTGAATATAATCTAAGTGAACCGGGTTGAATATAATCTAAGTGAACCGGGTTGAATATAATCTAGGTGGACAGGGTTAAATATAATCTAAGTGGACCGGGCTGAATATAATCTAAGTGGACCGGGTTGAACATAATTTAAGTTGACCGGGTTAAATATAATCTAAGTTGACCAGGTTAAATATAATCTAAGTGGTCCAGGTTAAATATAATCTAAGTGGACCGGGTTGAATGTAATTAGAGTGGACCGGGTTGAATATAATCTAAGTGGACAGGGTTGATTATAATCAGAGTGGACCGGGTTGAATATAATCTAAGTGAACCGGGTTGAACATAATCAGAGTGGACCGGGTTGAATATAATCTAAGTGGACAGGGTTGAATATAATCTAAGTGGACCGGGTTGAATATAATCTAAGTGGACCGGGTTGAATATAATCTAAGTGGACCGGGTTAAATAAAATTTAAGTGGACCGGGTTGAATATAATCTAGGTGGACCGGGTTAACTATAATCAGAGTGGACCGGGTTGAATATGAATAGTTTCCTAAAGCTGTTAGAGACTGCTCTGCTACATCCATACACTGGATAACCTGCAGTTTCTCCAGAAAGGTTGGAATAGCTTCAACGATCACTAAATAGAAAATTGAGAATAATGAAATTTATGAATAAGTATATAATATTCCAATCATTTTTTAGTCTTTGAAAAATAATAAATTTTTAACTGTAAAGGTTAATGCTTTATTGCAAAATCAACTGAGAAGTATCTCAAAGATATTTGGGCCTTGACATATGGGAAACTGATTTCTGCTGCTCCAGTATTGGCAAGTACCTGACCACGGTCTGTTCCTACCTGCTGATGATCTGGGGAGAGCTTCCATCATGTAGGTGAGCGCCCTGCAGGAGTTGTTCATCAGATCAAAGTTGTGTTCCATCTTTAGTAGAACAATCAGGGCAGGAACAACCTAAAGAAAGGATTATATAATCAACGAGAATATGTATATTGGGACAATTAGCAGAAACTAAATGCTAAAATCATTAAGTAAGATTATTACATCGAAACTCGGCAGTCTCCTTCATAGTTAGTAGTTTTGCAAGTTTTGTGACTGATTAAATGAAATGGGTATTCACAGAAAAAAAAACAAGTCATTACGAACTGAACAAAAACACCAAACATATAAGGGGTTTTAAAATCTTCTTAAACAGCCAGTCATTGATTAAATTTTAAAAAAAATCACTTCACAAAAAAGTGTATTTCCATTTCTAAGCGGAATATAAACAGACTCAATTAGAGCAGCACAGAGTTTGTCAATATTCCATCCAGTACAACTGAACAAAATTATTTAATAATATTTAATGGGATTGGGTGGGTTTATACATTTGCCAAACAAAATTCCAATTACCTGTCTGATAGGAAACCCAGCTAATGTATCCTCGTTTCCCATGACAAGGAGTTGGGAGATTTCAATAACAGCCTGTAGTTGCCTACTTTCATCTCCAGTTGCCTAAACATAGGAGATTTCAATAACAGTCTGTAGTTGCCTACTTAAATCTCCAGTTGCCTAAACATAGGAGATTTCAATAACAGTCTGTAGTTGCCTACTTTCATCTCCAGTTGCCTAAACATAGGAGATTTCAATAACAGCCTGTAGTTGCCTACTTAAATCTCCAGTTGCCTAAACATAGGAGATTTCAATAACAGCCTGTAGTTGCCTACTTTCATCTCCAGTTGCCTAAACATAGGAGATTTCAATAACAGTCTGTAGTTGCCTACTTTCATCTCCAGTTGCCTAAACAAAGGAGATTTCAATAACAGCCTGTAGTTGCCTACTTAAATCTCCAGTTGCCTAAACATAGGAGATTTCAATAACAGTCTGTAGTTGCCTACTTTCATCTCCAGTTGCCTAAACAAAGGAGATTTCAATAACTGCCTGTAGTTTGCCACTTAAATCTCCAGTTGCAACATAGGAGATTTTAACAAAAATGTCTCCTAAACTTAAAAGAAACAAATAATTAAGAAGAAGCGGGCGATTGTTTGATTTGTAATGAAAATTAAATCCTTCAAACGACCTTCAGTAATATGTTTTAGTTTGTTAAGATCGCGTATATTTTTCATTTAGACCACTCAAATTGATCAAAAAGTATGAATTTTCTTGGAAAATCGTTCCCAAAACATTGAAAAGGGGTTATACTTTATTTCGGGGAAAAAATTTTAAAATTGATAAAAAAAAACTTGCAAGTGTCGATTTTTGAAAATGTGGCTGAAACAATATTTTGTTTGATATCCATCCCTGGATGACCCTACTATTGATAAAAGTACCTGTAAGCCGGTCAGGAGCTGCTGAGCCTTGGACATTGCACTCGGCGCCATTCCTCGGTTTACAATCAGATGATGCATTCTTAACAAATAAAAAAGTTTATCATTGATTTTGCACAACTATTTGAGAGACTAGCGGATTTTTACATCACAGGCGAGGAAGAAAATGGCCGAGACATGTCATATAAAAGACAAGAAACTACAATTTATAAACTTAAATACTCAAATCACGAATTTGTGAAAAAATGAAATAAATATGAGCAGTAGTGAGATATTCCGATTATTCTAGAGAAGAATTTGACTAATTAACTGATTATTTCGAAAAATTTAAACCAAGTTTTCAGTCTTCAGAAGATTTTTCAAAACATATCATTGTGAATGAGTGGGTAATTTTCTAGAGAACGATTTTTGAACCCCCTCCCCTCACTCCTATTTTTTTGTACATGGATCTCATATTCATATGTAACACAGGATATAATTGGTCGTGGCCGCAGCGCTCGGCCCCCTAGCCTGTCCGCGCCGCGGCGCTTCGCCCCATAGCCTGTCCTAGCCGCAGCGCTCGGCCCCCTAGCCTGTCCTAGTCGCAGCGCTCGGCCCCCTAGCCTGTCCTAGCCGCAGCGCTCGGCCCAGAAATTGTTATAACCTAACCTAAACCTAAAATAATTAAAAATGAACAATAATCATTTTGCTATAAATTAGTGGTCGTGTGCAAAATTGATAGGAGGGGGGGAGGGGGGTCCAAAAATCGTTCTCTAGGACAGACCCGATTGAGTGTAATAGACATAAAGATTAACGGTTGAAGATCTAAATTAATATTTTACTTTAAATAGCTGATGCTAATGGAAACCGTGATTTAAAACTAAGAACACGAAAAAAGACTCAGAAATATGATGCCAGGCCATGCTACAAATACAATCAATTCTACAGGGCTAAAAAGCTTTGTTGATTTAAATTTTAAAAAAAAATATTAATACATTTTCATTAGCAGTAAAATGCCAAACTTGTTATGCAGTAAAGCTTTTTTTTGTTAAAATGTTTTTATTTGTAATTAATTGCTAATGGCTTACCGAGAAACAGTAATTATTACAACAATAATGATGATACCTAGGTCCGAGGACTCCGGCGAGGTGAGGAGGAAATCCACGAGCCTCGAGCATACTCTGCAGCCTCGACATATCAGCCTCATCCTCCAGACCTCCTTCTAAACAATAACCTAATGGAATAATGCAGGGAAATATATTCTTGAAAAATCATGATCCATCTCTCAAAAACAATTTTCCTTTCCTAGTATAACGGATGTCTGCGCTTGGGAAAAATATTTTGCTTATTTAACTTTCGTTGAATTGGAAAAAATACAAATCTTTATAAAACTAGTCTTTCCTGATGTGTTTAAAAATACCCCTGTGGTGTATTACCTAGAGCAGCTGCTATACTTGAAGGAGGTAGAAGAGCTGAAGCTAGGGATGCTGCTCCACCGGAGGGAGAAGGAGCATCTTCACCTTCTTGGTCACTTGACATTCTGCCCTGCAAATATTGAAAATGTAAGGCAGTGCTAAGGATCTAGTTAGTTTTGATGCGGATTCGTATCCTGGATCCGCACTGGAAAAAATGGATCCGGATCCTGGATCCATACTGGAAAAAATGGATCCGGATCCAGATCCATGTTATGAACATTTCTTAAAGATTCACTTAATTTTTTTATCACACGTCTAAATATGAAGAGTCTAAGTATGAAAAGTTTTACATTTATACGAGTTAGGTTGAAAAATACATTTATGAAAAATGAGCTACATGCATATAAGGAATGCAACATTATTTTCATGGCTCCAATGTATATGAATTTTAAAGATACTGTAGCACTTGCTGGAAAATTTCTTAAATTTAGAGATCAACAGGGTTGGACGGCAATCTGACCGCTATGTTCTTCTTCATGTGTTGGTCAACCGAGGATTTAAGATTAGCAGTTAAGAGGAGGGAGAGGGGTGCAAATGGGGAGAGAGAGGGGCTTGTGAAAATCAAAGTTAAGGGGGGGGGGGAGTATAGTCAAACCACGAAATCATCCAAACTGAAAAGCATGTTACGTCTTCATCTAATGAAGGGTCCAGTTCTTTGTTAAAAACAGAAGATCTGTTCGAACTATTTTCTCTATTGCACCATGCATCAATTTAGACTCATGATTTTGATTACTAATAAGTTGCATCATGCACCTATATTGTATTATACGGACATACTGCGGAATATGATGCAGATAAACAGGGAAGGGAGGGGGTAAAGGGGGGGGGGGTAGAAACGGTGATTACGGTGACTGGTAAGGGCATTTGCCATGATAAGGTGAACGTCGGTCAAAGTTGGAGTCGGAAACGGCGGGTAGGGGGTTTGGGAATTGGGGGGTACGGACATGAACAGTAAGGGGGCGACGTCTGCAAGGGAGTGAGTAGCGAATGAGACATAATTTTAAAATTGGATATTAAAAAGTTACATAGATTCTAAAAAATCAATTTAATCAATTTAAATTAAGAAGTTACCTGTTCTGATTCCAGATAAGGTTCGACACCAGCAGAGCTTCCACTCGAACTAGAAATATTTTATATTTAGATAACTTAATTGAACTTTAATTAACATTTTCCTGATTTAATCACCTTTTACTAGTGCAGGCCCCCGTGGTGAAAACTTAAAGAAACATTAAGACGAATTAATCACTTCAGTTTATTATATCCTGCCATCCTAACTCACTCTGCACACTGTACTAGCTCTATCTTTATTAAGTTTACAAGAAAAATCTGAAATTAAAATTTATATATTTATATGAAAGAAAGGAATATTTATATTTCGTAACTATAACAAAATATACAGAATTTATTACTGATTATAGAATATTAGTAGTCTAAATTAACGACGCCAAATTTCCATGAAACCCAATGAACGCTTTTGCGTTTCGCTCTCTGAAGTCTCGGCTGGCAGTCGTCGGCTCAGCTGGCTTGAATGGGCCCTGGAACTTCTTGAAATAAACTTTTTTTTACAGAAACAGATTTTGAATACTTTATCTTTTAATTCATTGTAAAATCAATAATAATAAAGAAACATATAATTTAATTTCTCTTTGGTTTTGGTTATTCTAGGGGTCTTGGGTTTCCCCAGCTGTTTGGTTTTTCTTTGTTATTAGGTTTGATTAGAAATAAGTATGTTATTGTAATGAGCAACCAGATTATGTTTATAAAACACGGAACTGAAAAAAACCGATAATCTTTAACATAAGAAGCTTTCTAATTAATAATTTTCCGAGGAAAGGGCGGCGGTCAAAAAGTACGGGCTAATCTATTATTCTCCTTTGACCCTTTGCGTAATTAACTTCAGCTCATCTTACTTCTTAATACCTTCCAATTAATTGTTATTCTCATTTTTTCTCTTTTTTTTTCTCGGCCTCTCTATACCTGTATTCATCCTTCTTTCCTTTATTCATCCTCCCTTCCTTAAATTCATCCTTCCTTCCTTTATTTGTCCTCCATTCCTTTATTCATCCTCTTTCCCTCTATTCAACCTCTCTTCCTTCATTCAGCTACCCTTCCTTTAGTCATCCTCCCTTCCTTCATTCATCCTCTTCCATTTTTTTATTCATCCGGTCCCTTCCTTTTTTCGTCCTCCTTCCCTTTATTCATCCTCCCTTCCTTTATTCATCCTCTTCCATTATTCATCCGGTTCCTTCCTTCATTCATCCTCCCTTTCTTTATTCATCCGGTTCCTTCCTCCATTCATCTTCCTTTTCTTTATATTCATCCGGTCCCTTCCTTTATTCGTCCTCCTTCACATTCATCCTCCCTTCCTTTATTCATCCGGTTCCTTCCTTCCTTCATCCTCCCTTTCTTTATTCATCCGGTTCCTTCCTCCATTCATCTTCCTTTTCTTTATTCATCCAGTCCCTTCCCTTAGTCATCCTCCTTCCTTCCATTCACCCTCCCTTCCTCTATTATCCTCCCTTTCTAATTATTCATCCCACCTTCCTTTATTTTTATTAATCCTCCCTTCCTTTCTTAATCCTTCCTTCAATTATTTATCCTCCCTCCCTCTATTCATCCTCCCTTTCTTTATTTATCCCCCTTCCTTTATTTATCCTCCTTCCCTTTATTCATCCTCCTTCCTCTATTCATCCTCCATTCCTACATTCATTCTTCCTTCTATCATTCATCCTCCCTCCCTTTATTCACCTACCTCGCTTTTATTCTCCTCCCTTCCTTTTTTATTCATCCTCCCTTCCTTTATTCATCCTCCCTTCCTTTCTTCATCCTCCCTTCCTTTATTCATCCTCCCTTTCTTTATTTATCCCCTTTTCCTTTATTCATCCTCCTTTCCTTTATTCATCCTTCCTTCCTTTACTCATCCTCCCTCCCTTTACTCATCCTCCCTTAAAACATTGATTTGAATCGATAAGTTGTAAATAACCGCATGACCTCAAACTTGACTTTTCATGTTTATTTGCAGAATATTTGCTAAGTTTTTGCAAGGATTATTATCTATAGTTAACATAATCTAGTCATCTAGAGACATCAAAGAGACATCAATTTGTATAGAAGTGGATGGTCAGGAAACTTTTTATAGTCTTTAAACTTATTCATGTTTAATCCTTCAGTTGTTGATCATCATTTAATTTTATTCTTCAGTTGTTAATCTTGTTCATCTTAAAATACGAAGATGTTGATTTTGTTCACCTTTCATTCCTAAGTTGTTGATCTTGTTCATATTTATCTTTATTCTTCAGTTGTTAATCTTGTTCATCTTTATTCTTAAGCTGTTGATCTTGTTAATCTTTTTCTTAAGGTGTTGATCTTGTTAATCTTTTTTCTCAAGCTGTTGATCTTTTTTTTCTGAGGTTGTTAATCATGTTCATCTTAATTCCTAAGTTGTTGATCTTGTTCATTTTCACTCCAACTCAAGTTGTTGATGTGTTCATCCTGAATCCTTAAGTTGTAAATCTTGTTCATCCTGAATCCAAAAGTTGTAAATCTTGTTCATCCTGAATCCTTAAGTTGTTGATCTTGGTCATCTTGAATCCTTAAGTTGTTAATCTTGTTTATCTTTAATTCTTAGGTTAATGAACTTGTTCATCTTCGCTCAAATTCAAGATGTTTAATATTTAAGCCTTGAACCTTAATCCTTAAGCAGCAGTTGACCTTGTTCTTATTCATCTTTAATCCTGAAGTTGTTAATCTTATTTATCTTTAATCCTGAAGTTGTTAATCTTATTTATCTTTAATCCTGAAGTTGTTAATCTTATTTATCTTTAATCCTGAAGTTGTTAATCTTATTTATCTTTAATCCTGAAGTTGTTAATCTTATTTATCTTTAATCCTGAAGTTGTTAATCTTATTTATCTTTAATCCTGAAGTTGTTAATCTTATTTATCTTTAATCCTGAAGTTGTTAATCTTATTTATCTTTAATCCTGAAGTTGTTAATCTTATTTATCTTTAATCCTGAAGTTGTTAATCTTATTTATCTTTAATCCTGAAGTTGTTAATCTTATTTATCTTTAATCCTGAAGTTGTTAATCTTATTTATCTTTAATCCTGAAGTTGTTAATCTTATTTATCTTTAATCCTGAAGTTGTTAATCTTATTTATCTTTAATCCTGAAGTTGTTAATCTTATTTATCTTTANCCCCCCCCCTGCTAGGTTCTTTCTGTCTCTCTATATCTTGTTCTATGAGTTCTATCTAGCTGCTATGAAAGGATTATCTTGATAAAATCTCGGGGTTTAATCAGAACTATAAATACTATTCCCCTCTCACACCCCATGCCGGGATTTTCGATAGATGATTATAGATTGTTATTTATTAGTTTTGCAATTTAGCAAAATATTAAAGTTTGCAATATGCGTCGCTTGGTTCAGTCTCTCTCAGCCAGTCCCGGATATCACATCAATCTTCATAATTGAGGGATTGCAATTTTCTTACAACTGAATTGCCACAAACTCATGTTTTCTAATTCCTTCAAGTTTACAACATGATGGTGTAAACCTTTGATATTTCAAATTTATATATATCATTTTAATTTTAATTCACAGTTTGAAATATCAAAGGTCTACGGCATTGGGTTGCAAAGCCTCAAATCCTTTTTTAATTTTGGATTATGAAAAAATATTAGTGAATTTGATTACCAGTTTTTTTTAACCTATAAACCCCATAAGTGTCCAAAAAAATTTCAACTAATTTTGTCCAGCCGTTTGGCCAATAGATAGATAGATAGACTACTAAGTTTTCTTCGGAATTAATTTAAAATATGGCAAAAAGTAAGATGACTAAATTTTATAAAAATAAAACGAAAATATTTAAAGAAAAAATTTCTTGTTTGAAAACAATATCTGAACAAACACATTAACAGAGTTTGTTTGTCACATCACATTGTAAAAGAACTATATTTTTTAATTATCTTAACTTTAATCAGAATTATGAAGATGTCACATGTATTGGTTGGCTACATATATTGGTCTGGACTAGGTTTAGTATATCTATACTTTTTTATGAATTTTTAATTTATAAGTTTTTTGTTTTCATATTGCTTTTATTTTATTTCTGTTTGAATTGCATTATCCAAAACATTAAAACATTTTATTTCCAAATCCGACACAGAAAGAACGAAGAAATTTAATAAAAGTTATTGAAGCCATACAAGTAAATATAAAATGTCTATTTCTCTGTTGATTATTTTGACCATTTGTTTCTGTGACAATGACTATTAATTTAACTTATTTTTTCTGCTTTTTCTTCAATATTTTTTTGGCAACTTCTTTTGACAGGGAAAATTGTTTTACTTTTAATTGATTTTAAAATTGCATTTCTTTCGAAGGAATTAATTTTCTAATCCCTTTAATTATTCAACCTGATGTAAATAGGTATAGTAGACCTTTGATATTTCAAACTATAAAATTCTGTTATTTCAAATAGTTTGAATATTTTTTAATAATTCAGTTTAAAGGGACTGTAAAGGAAAAATGAAAGGGGGTATAGGCTGAAAGCTAATCACTTTAGCTCTAGATCGTGACCCATGAAAGTTTTATCTGATGTTCCTGTCTCGAGAAATTGATATAAAACTGATATATATACTGGTCAGTGGTCATGTGTCTCCGCCTGTATCACGTGACCACTTTACTGCACTGCCATTGGTGGAATTTCTGGTCAAGCAATGCGGACATTCAAATAATATTATGAATTAAATCTATAAAAAATAGAAATAACAAATATAAAATTAGAATTGGAGTAAACCTAAGTTACAATTAGCTTTCTCTGGGATATCATCTGGGATATGCATATTTGCTGAATTTGATCTTTTTAAACCCACTACTTTTATACAAAAATGTATATATATATTAATTTTCTTATAAATTTGACAAAGTTGTAAATCAATTTCTCGAGATAGGAACATCAGATATAACTAAAGTGATTAGCTTTCAGCCTATACCCCCTTTCCTTTTTCCTTTACAGTCCCTTTAAATTAAATTTTTTTTAACAAAATTTAAGAAGAGGAGTGAATTTTTTTTTCTCCGCCGTTGCATCTTCTTTTTATCTGATCATACATCTTCTGTTCTTCTCTTTTAGATCTATGAATTCTAGTCTCTGTAGACAAGGGAAAAAGCATTTTGAGACATATTTCTGATTCATACTATTCTTTAATTTGATATCTCGGCACGAGAAATATCAAATTAAGTATAATAGAAAGTGACTGTTTATGAGTAGAAATCATAAGTATTTGCAGTTTTCAGTAATGTCTGACTGTTGAAGGTTAGCTTCAAAGACGATTTCCTCAATATT